ACAAAAAAACTTAAAATTTGTATGGAGACACAAAAGACCCCGAATAGCCAAAGCAATCTTGAGGGAAAAAAACAGAGCTGGAGGAATCAGACTCCCTGACTTCAGACTGTACTACAAAGCTACAGTAATCAAGACAATATGGTACTGGCACAAAAACAGAAATATAGATCAATGGAACAGGATAGAAAGCCCAGAGATAAACCCACACACCTATGGTCAACTAATCTATGACAAAGGAGGCAAGCATATACAATGGAGAAAAGACAGTCTTTTCAATAAGTGGTGCTGGGAAAACTGTACAGCTACATGTAAAAGAATGAAATTAGAACACTCCTTAACACCATCAACAAAAATAAACTCAAAAGGATTAGAGACCTGAATGTAAGACCAGACACTATAAAACTCTTAGAGGAAAACATAAGAAGAACACTCTTTGACATAAATCACAGCAAGATCTTTTTTGATCCACCTCCTAGAGTAATGGAAATAAAAACAAAAATAAAGAAATGGGACCTAATGAAACTTAAAAGCTTTTGCAAAGCAAAGGAAACTACAAGCAAGACGAAAAGACAACCCTCAGAATGGGAGAAAATATTTGCAAACGAATCAACAAACAGACAAAGGATTAATCTCCAAAATATATAAACAGCTCATGCGGCTCAATATTAAAAAAACAAACAACCCAATCCAAAAATGGGCAGAAGACCTAAATAGACATTTCTCCACAGAAGACATACAGATGGCCAAGAAGCACATGAAAAGGTGCTCAACATCACTAATTATTAGAGAAATGCAAATCAAAACTACCATGAGGTATCACCTCACCCCAGTTAGAATGGGCATCATCAGAAAATCTACAAACAACAAATGCTGGAGACGGTATGGAGAAAAGCTAACACTCTTGCACTGTTGGTGGGAATGTAAATTGATACAGCCACAATGGAGAACAGTATGGAGGTTCCTTAAAAAACTAAAAATAGAGCTACCATATGACCCAGCAATCCCTCAACTGGGCACATACCCAGAGGAAACCATAATTCAACAACACACATGCACCCCAATGTTCAATGCAGCACTATTTACAATAGCCAGGTCATGGAAGCAACCTAAACACCCATCGACAGACGAATGGATAAAGAAGATGTGGTACATATATACAAAGGATTATTACTCAGCCATGAAAAGGAACGAAATTGGGTCATTTGTAGAGACGTGAATGGATCTAGAGACTGTCATACAGAGTGAAATAAGTCAGAAAAACAAATATCGTATATTAACGCATATATGTGGACCCCAGAGGAATGGTACAGACAAACCGGTTTGCAGGGCAGAAATAGAGACACAGATGTAGAGAACAAACGTATGGACACCAAGGGGGGAAAGTGGTAGGGGGTTGGGGCGGTGGTGGTGTGATGAATTGGGAGATTGGGATTGACATATACACACTAATATGTGTAAAACAGATAACTAATAAAAACCTGCTGTATAAAGAATAAATAAAACAAAATTTTTGAAAAACATGTAAAAAAAACCTACTTACTTCTCGTACTCTGAAAGTGGGAGTATCAATTAGTAGTCATTTTCAAGAGCAACTTGTCAACAAATGCACTGTGACCTAACAATTCCACTTTTCTCTCCTAGAGAAAATCAGATATGTATTTTCTCTAGGATAAAAGGCATGCATAAAAATGTTTGTAACAACCAAGATGTTGATCAATACGTAAATGGCTAAATTAACTACATCAGTTATATTTATGGACCACTTCTCAGCAATTTTTTAAAGTTTAGATTAAAAAGGATCAACTTCATCACAAGGAAAAAAATTATTTTATAACTAAGTATGTAGGTGGTAGTTAACTAAACTTATGGTGATCATTTCGCAATATGTATACACAGATCTCAAATCATTATGTTGCACACCTGAAACTAATGTTAATTATACCTTAATTTAAAGAATAAAAAACTCACTAGTTGTAAAGAAGAAAAATAAAAGATCTACCAAAACTTTAAAAATATTCTAAACACATATACAAAACACTATATTTGGAAGTAATTTCACAGAAAGGACTGAAAGGATATTCAGTAAACTGGTAACATGACTATCTTTTTTCTGAAGGGAACATCAAAAGTTCCTTTTTTACAAGAACATATTTATGTATCATTTACATAACAATTAAAATGTTATTAGAGTTACAGTAAGCTTATTTGAGGCTTCTGGGAAGCACACTTGGAGAAAAGAAGGTTGATGGGGTCAAGAAGACTAAGGATGAAAAAGATGAAAAAAAATCATTTTATTTTTATTTTTTGTATTTTGGCTGCAACTCGCAGCATGCGGGATTGGTTCCCTGACCAGGGATCGAACCTGGGCCTCTGCAGTGAAAGCACCGAATCCTAACCACTAAGCCTCCAGGGAACTCCCAAAATCAATATTTTTATACATCGTTTTTGTGTGTAAAAGAATTAAAATTGTATTAGAAAGCTGATTTTTAATATGCAAAATGTAACCATGGGTACAGGTAAGTGATTCATAAATCCCATACTGTGATTTTAATAAAGGTCTCCAAAATAAATACAACTACTTTAAACAAGGGTTGGGGGGACAATTCTTTCCAGTCTCCTGACAGGAATTTAAAACTGCAGTGACACTATTCTAGGCCTCTCCTGTGGGCCAGGCTTTGGTTGAAAAGAGGACCTTATCTGGATTACCAGAAACAGCAATACACAAGCCAGAATCATCCCAAAAGTGGAGGAAAGTGTGTCACAAGGTCTGAAGAATGCCTCACCTGCAGTTCAGTTAGAACTGCAGGTTCTAACAGAAAATTCATGATTACAAGTCCTTAAATACTTCCCTACATTTCCTATGTTTCTATCTCTGGTAATAAACTTTCGGGTGAAATTTTATGGATGGAATTCCTGTACCTCATTGAGTGAGTGACAGTAAATCCAGGTTTGGTTAGGAAAAACATAGTTTAATTCTGTTATTACAGCATAATTAATATCCTCTTTCCCTCTCATGAATATCCTGGTTTATAGGATAAATCACATAGGCCTCCTACTAATAAGATTATTGTACTAATTTAACACTCCCCTAGTTTGCACCTACTCTGGTCTCTGGACCCTAAAGGTCCTCTGCTCCCATTTCATTATTCTTGAGGTTGCAAATTTGCTTAGGAAAATAGGAAGCCGGCAGACCCAGGTTATAGAAGGCAATCTGGTATTAAGAAATGAAAGAAAATATACCCACTTCATTCATTTACAAGGCCTAGAAATCTTCACAAAAGTCAACTCGCTAGGTAGTAACACTATCTGGACTAGAACCCAAGTTGTGAATTTCTACACAACAATCCCTTATGAAAGTTACCTAAGTTATTCAATTACTAATAGAAGTTGTGTAGAAGTATAGAGTCAGTACTGCAGAGAGGCTATAAAGTTACTCTAGCACTCCACATATGAAGAACCATATTCCTGAGGGCACAGAATAGATTCCAAGAACAGAAATGTTGCCTACAGAGAAACATCAGCAAAATTAAAAACCCCATGAACCACACCATACATCAAGAATCACCTGGTTCTTAATCTCCAACAAAGATTAAGGACCCCAGTGGTCCCCTGCATCGGCAGGTGGACTCTCAACCACTGCGCCACCAGGGAAGCCCTCTTTGCTAAATTTTATAGAGATTTTCCTTTAAGATTTTTGTTCTCTTCAGTTATTAATACTAGTAAACAAATAGATCTTTGCAGCTAGGAGAGACTGGTGGCAGTATTAAATTCAGAGCAAAATTGTAAGCAGCTTTTTCTGCAACTGTTAAGATTTATCAAGAATGATGATTTAAAAACCATTTATCAGACCTCAGCTGTAAAATAACTTTGGTTTAAATAAAGTTATACTGTACCACAGCATTATAAAAAATGATTTGAGTATTACTGTGCAAACCAATTACCACTTATCGCACTCTGTTGGAGTTCCTTGGAAGAAATGTTACTATACCTCTATACCTGCAATACGTGTGTCTATAACAATCACCTTATATTTAACCATTTCCTTTATCTCTTTTGAGCCTCACAACCCTGTTTCCCTGTTCCACTGTTAACCTTTAATTTTTAAGAAGAGTGAAGACTTGTACGTAAACAGCTGTAATTTCTATATGAAAAGTTCAATTAATTTACTACAACTTAATTAGAAAGCAAAACTAGGAGATACTGGTTTCTGTCTTCGGTTTATTTAGTATTTCCACTTAAACTAAAAAAAAAAAAAAAAAAAAACCTGCAGTTGCTATAACCAAAATAAAGCACCAAGGGCCATACTGCATTGGTCAGCATTCAAATGCAGTGGCATAATCTTACCTCCCCTAGAGAGGTGAGCTAACTGAATGTCAGAAGACTACTGTTCACCTAATGTGCAATTCACTCTCTCGTCAACTATCCTATTTCATTTCAACCAGTTTCCACCACAGTCGTAAACTCAAAGCTTTTGAGTAGCAACTACAGTATAGCATCTCATTTTTAATATGACTACTTAGCACGGTTTTGAAAACACTGAAATTTTCAGCTTACCAATTATTTCACAATAAAAAATTCACAATTGCTCTTCCACTTAACATATAAACCCCCTTGCTCCGACTGGCTTCACCTCTTTTTAAAAAGTCTACAGAAACTTTTCTATAGGATGAACTGCAACACCTACCTAAAGTCAGCTGTCCCATGTCACTAACACATGGGGTAAGACATAACTGAGGCTGTGCCCGCCGAGCGGCTCACCTCCGTGACCCCCGCCGTGCCCCACCAGCCAAGGAGAACCCGAGGTCCCACCTCTTCCTGCTGCTCCCTTCCCAGATGTCCATTTATGTAAACAAGCAGAGTGAATGACACCTTGGAACGAAACATCTCCGACTGACAGGGAACGGAGGCCTGCCCCTCCCCCAGCCCCCCGCCAGCATCGCCGCCACGCGAGTCGCCCCGGCACACACCCTCCCGGTGCCCACCGCAGAGGAACCACAGACCTGCCTCCAGGGTTTCCAGTAGGGGCAGCGGCGGCGGCCCCGTCCCGGCGGGGGACAGGTGCTGGGGAGGCTTTTTGGTCCAGGGATTCTCCTTCCGCGGCAGCGGCGGCGGCGGCGGCGGCGGCGACGGCGGCAGCTTTTCCTCAGAGCCTGCCGCCGCCGCCTCCTCCTCCCGGGCGTCCTCGGCCGGCGGGTCCCGAGGCAGCGGTGGCGGCGGCTCCCAGCCGAAGGGCCCCCCCGGCCCGCGCGCCTTGTGCGCCAGGTGCAGCGCCAGGGGCTTCACGGACACGGCCGCCTGAGGCACGCTGTGTCCCAGCACGGGCGCCGGCAAAGGCTCTCCCCGCGCCCCCGTGCGGGTGGCGAGCGCGTTCCTCTCCTCCCTCGCCGCCTCCTTGCCCTCCCGTTCGGGCGGGGGCAGCTTCCCGGCTTGCCGGCTCGCCGCGGCCGACAGCGACTCCCTCTCAGCTGGTACCGCGGGCCGCTCCTCCGGAGGGTGAGCGGCGGGCACCCGGGCGCGAGCAGACATCGTCCCCCTGCCCCAGCCGCCCCAGCCGGGGGCGGCCCGGGGCCAGGGAGCCCGGCTGCCCGTTTCTCCGCCGGGACACTGACTGGCTCCGGCCTGGGGAAGAGAACCCGAGAGCCCGGCCGCCCGCGTCGGCTCAGGCCGCGGAGCTCCCGGCGTCGAACGGGGCGCTAACCGCCCGCCGGCCCAACCCGCGTCAGCGGCGCGAGCCTCGAGCCTGCCAACACGCGCCGGGCGCCGAAGCCGGAGGCCGGGAGCCCTCACTTGGCGCGGGCTGCGGCACAAACGCCGCAACGCGAAGCTGTAGTACCTCTAGCAGAGTCAGGTAGGCTCGCGCTCCCAGAGCCAGTAACTGCTCGTGGGGTCAGAGGCGGAGGCGGGGGCGTGGAGGGGGCGGTCCGAAAGGATGGAGCAGGGGCGGGGCCTCCCGGAGGAGCGTGACGTGGCCGCTCACCGGCTCCGGCCCTCGCCGGGCCGCCGCCCTCGGTGGTTGACTGACGACCCCGCCAGGGTGCCGCCCTGCTTGAGGGCTGGCCCCGCCCCAGCGGCCCGCTGAGAGGGAAGGAGAGCGAACTGGGCGATTCCCCGGCTCGCGGGCTACGGCGGCCCCCTCTGCGGGCGCAGGGGCGGGGCGCGCACCGAGCGACGGGCTCGCGCCTCGCTCCGCCGGCTGCGAGCGAGGGGCGGGGCGTGCTGCGCACGTGGCTCGGGGCGGGCGGTGGGGTCGCTTTGCCCCAGGCCCTGAAGTGCAGTTGACTCCTGGCGAGGTGGGTAATCTTGGCCACCGACGCTGGGCGGCTCCCGAATGGGCCTGGGTACCACCACCGAGCCACCTTGTCCCCTGCGTCTGTCGCGTCTCCCCGTGAAAACGTTTCCCCCGGCGCTTTGGGGCACTGCGGTCATCCTGTAATATTGAGCCGCGTCCAAAATAAAAACAGTGTAATCTGTAGGTAAAGTTATGAAACCTTTGCCCCGGCACTAGGATTAGTGCACTTCCCCGCCCCCCTATTCCCAACCACGATCCGAAGTATTTCTAAAGTCGTATGGAGTAAAACAGATTGTTAATACTTCGCCGGCTTTTTAAACAATTTTATGAGGGTTTTTGTGTGTCTTTTTTTTTTATAATGTGATTCAGTTATACATATATATATTCTTTTTCAGATTCTTTCCCATTATGGGTTATTACAAGATACTGAATATACTTCCCTGTGCTATACAGTAGGTCCTTGTTGTTTACTTTATACACATATGTTTTTGAATTTGTAGAGAACACTTGTTTACAAATTAACCATGCTTCAAATACTTTTTCCTGGAATGGATATATGTTAAAAATGTACAAATATATTTTGATTTTTAAAATGCAATGAGAGCTTTCTACTTGGCAGTCAAATGAGTGATATTGGTTTCATATGCGTGTATTTATGAGTTAATAATGTTTCTGTTCCCGTGCTAGGTCGCCGAAAATGGGTTCACCTAGGTGAAAAAAAGTTTTCCCTGAGGGACCGTCCCCCCCAACCCCCTGAAAATATCTGTACCTGACATTTGTATGGACTTGGCAATGGGTCCCTCCTGGCTTCCTTTAAGGACTGCCAAATGTGTACAGGACTCCCCTCCCATGAGTCTTGCTTCAATCACATTAAACGCGAGATACTTTCTTTTTTTGTTTACTCAAAAGTTGTACTAGGCATAAATTCCTTATTTTCCTAGGGCTAATAAACTATTCGCACATTACAACTATAAACAATAAAGCCTTTCTTGTTTTCCACTGTGCTTCCACCTCTAAGTGTATTCCCAGAGAGGCGCCATCTTTTCTAGCTCTCTTATTGGTGAAGCCTTGTGTTTTTAACTACCAACTAAGTGCTCTTCCTGCTAGAATCAGCCTTTTGGAGTCTCGCCAGGTAATGCTTGACTCTTTTACAAAAGCCTGGCAACAAATTCACACTCCACATGACTCAGAGAACACTTTCTATTTTACCATCTATTTAAATACACGTGGATTAAAGACGTGGATTCAGTTGAGAAAAAGGGTATTTGGAATGGTTCCTGAAGTTAGAGTCATATGGGCTACCTAATTATGGTTGGTGGTTTTGTTTGTTGCTGTTTTGGTTTTTTTTTTTTTAAGTGAAAAATCATAAAGATGCTTTATTGACGAAACACAGGACTTTCTTGGCAATAGGTTGTGCTTCCAAGGAGAGAAGAAATGGAGGGTAAATGTGTACTCAAAAGGTCTGCAAAGAACTGGACAGTAGGTGTTTGGGTATCTTCACTGTAGTGCAGTGCCACTAATGTCAGTGAAGGGAGTTGGCTATTTGTTCTCCCTTTTTAAAACACATATTACTAACTCCTGCTTACACATAACTGCCTCTTGGAAACAACTTCACCTATCTTCTGTTTGCCCCTCCGTGTCTGTTCTCCACCCCTTCCCTGCTCTGTGTCAGGGAGGACTGACCCACCCAGATTACACCTACGATAATCCCTTGTTCTGCTTAGTATCTCAATGGATTCAGGTAGTGGGAACTATCGGCAGGAGATTCAAGGCCAGAAGATAGTGGGGTCATAGTCCTTATTCCCCAGGATGGGTCACCAAGGGTTGACTGCAGAACCTTCTCTGTACGGTTAATCTCTAATCCTTCCCTTTGCCTCTTCAGGCCTAAGTGTAATAACTGCTAGTCCTTGGGGTACTGCATTATCCCTTGTTGGTTTCCCCGACTCTTACCTGCACCTCTGTAAATAATTTAATAATTCTCTTCAAATTATTCAGTTTGAGCTTTCCATCTGGTATCTGATGGGAACCTGACTGACCTAATTTGCCATTGCTGAAGCCCCGTTAGTTTGTCATCTGGCCTCTACTCTGCAAGAGTCTTCCTTTGCTTCTTAGTTCAAAATCATCGAAGAAAGACTTTATTTTTTGTAGCCCGATCACACAAATCATTATCCATCCTATGGATTATTTGCCCTTGGGTAGGATCCCCATCTGGCCTGGAGAAACAAGTTATTGGTTCAAACTACTGCCATCAAGGCAATGGGGATGAGAAAGCCAGTTATCAGTAGGGATGTGAGAGAGGTACATCCTTTAACCAGGTTTGTTTTTTTTTTAATAAATTTATTTATTTTTTGTCTGTGTTGGGTCTGCGTTGCTGTGCGTGGGCTTTCTCTAGTCGTGCAAGTGGGGGCTACTCTTCGTTGCAGTGTGCAGGCTTCTCATTGCGGTGGCTTCTCTTTGTTGTGGAGCACAGGCTCTAGGCACGTGGGCTGCAGTAGTTGTGGCACGCGGGATCAATAGTTGTGGCTCACAGGCTTAGCTGCTCCACGGCATGTGGGATCTTCCCGGACCAGGGCTTGAACCCGTGTCCCCTGCATTGGCAGGCGCATTCTTAACCACTGCACCACTAGGGAAGTCCCCTTTAACCAGGTTTTCTTCCCTTTTCCCAATCCTAGTGAGTGGACCACCCTATAACCTAGGAGTCCATATAACCCTCACCCTCCATAATCCATTCATTTACAAATATCTCAAGCATCTGCCCAGCAGTGTTCTAGACACTCACCAAGACTGATTATACCTCCTAAGTGTCTGTCACAAAGTCCTGCTTTCTCCACTGCCACCACCCTACTCCAAACTGCCTTTATGCTTCTGTAATACTGTTACAACCTCTTAACTGGCCAGCCTCTCTGCCTCCACTGAGACCTATTTGATACAATTATTGTGAGGATTGCATGAGATAATATGTGTAAAATGCTTACCAAGACCTTAGCTCAATAATACTGCCTATTTTTATTGCTTTTAAATCCATAGACTTAACCAGGATATGTGGATTTAATTTTACTGAATTACTGAGGTTAGAAGCCTGATCTTTTTTAAAAAAAAAAAATGAAAAACTGGAATCTAGAACAGAGATATAGGGTTATCTTTTCAAAAAAGAGAAAATGGTTCTCTAGGCCTCAGAAGTTATGAAACACCTAAAGAAATTATACAAACTTGATGATCACATGTTCAAATGAGCCTCTAAAAAGGTGAATCTTGTTTTTCCTGTTTAGAGTATGCTAATATGTCTTCAGGTGATTGAACCCATTTCTCCTCCCCCTCCCCCTGGTGTCTCAGGAAATCGAAGTCCCAAGAGAACAATCAAGATCTTTGTTTTTATTACCAGTGCAATTGAGGTTCAGGCTGGTAAAAATCCAATGTGCAGATAGCTGTACTGCATACTAGAAAGGTTTCAAAGAATGCATTAGATATAATCTATTTCAAAGTCCTACAGTTCAAGGAGAAGATAAAACTAAACCCAGAGATTTTTTTTAACTTCCTATAAAATAAATTTTTTTTTAATATAAATTTATTTATTTATTTTTTTGGCTGCGTTGGGTCTTCGTTGCTGCCCGCGGGCTTTCTCTAGTTGCGGCCAGCAGGGGCTACTCTTCGTTGCGGTGCACGGGCTTCTCATTGCGGTGGCTTCTCTTGTTGAGGAGCACGGGCTCTACAGGCGGATTCTCAACCACTGCGCCACCTGGGAAGTCCTAAAATAACTCTTAAAAAGACTAGATTTTTAAACTAGATACACTGAAACATCATTTCCTCCAGTTGCAGAGCCTTGGACCCTGCTTATCATAATAACTGCTTTAATTATGAGATAATTCTCAGAGAAGTACTAAATACTTCCAATTATCTCTAACCTTCAAGGTAGGGTCAGTGCTGTGTGTTTGAAAGGCTTTGCTCCTTCCCTTCGATTAATACAACTGATGTCTTCAATCTTAAAGTGAGAATAAAAGCACTTCTAGAAAATTTTGCTCTTTTTTTACTTATCTGTATCATACAAATAGGTAAAAACACTGTGCTTGTCATGTAAACATAGCTCCAAAACAAATCTAGGCTACCTTTCAACCAGATTGCCATTCCTAAGTAGTAGATCTCTCTACTTTTAGGTAGGTTTTAATACACCAGTTCAACAGAATAGGAACTCTCTCAAAAGTTTGGGTCTTGTCTAAAAACTCTCAGCCAGTAATAGCTAGGATTGATACTGAACACTGTCTGCCTTTCCTGCCACATTATTTAGTCTTTTTCTTCTACAATAACTTGAAATAACACAAATAATGAAGTAATAGTTAATCTTTTAAAAAAATAACTCTAAAAGCATAAGCTCAAGGAATTCTCTTCCAGTTTTCAAAGAACAGGGATTTTCAAACAATAGGGTATACAAAGGATTAATAACCTTTCTGAATTCTTCACACTATCCAGTTATATTTAATATTAGTATAGCTTTATGAATACTGGCACAACACAAATGAGATCTTTAAATTCAAGTTCAAATGAACTT